ACGGAGCAGAAGTGCCTTCGAAATAATATCCTCAAAGACGTGAAACGCGTCATGGAAAAGCGCCTCCTTGAAGAAACGCGCTTCATGGAGGAGAAGCGCCTTCGCGAGGTGAAGCGTCTCAAGGAGAAGCATCTGGAGGAAGAGAAGCGCCTCATAGATGTGAAGCGGGTCGAGGAAGAGAAGCGCCTCATGGAGGAGAAGCGGGTGGAAGAAGTGAAGCGCCTTGTCGAGGAGCAGCGCCTCATTGAGGTGCAGCGGGTCGAGGAAGAGAAGCGCCTCATGGAGGAGAATCGCCTCTTTGAGGTGAAGCGTCTCATAGAGCTGAAGCGTCTCGAGAAGAAGAAGAAGCGTCTTGAGGAGAGGCGCTTTCGCAAGGTGAAGCTCCTCGAGGAGAAACGTCTCATGCAGGAGAAGCGCCTCGTTGAGGTGAAGCGTCAAGAGGAGGAGGAGCACTTGATGGAGGAGCAGCGTCTTGTGGAGCAAAAGCGCCTCGAGGAGGAGCAGCGCCTCGCCAAGATCGAGCGACAATGGCTCCAGACCGCTACCACCAGCAGTACCACCACCGCCGCCACCGCCACCACGTCCTCCAATCCTGTGTGGGACCCAATTGCTCCGAGCTTTGGAGAAGAGGGCTTCCAAGAAGATAAAGCAAACTCCGGAGTCGCTGAGCCACGGTAAACCACTCTGCGTGTGCGCCCTGTGTGTTTATTTTTGTTATTTATTGCCATGCTTCTCACGCAGAATCAGCCTTACTCGGTCTCAAGACTTTTTTTCAGGAGGATTCTGCCAAGTTTGCTCGCATTTTTCAAGAAAGTTGATACTGTTTGCGATCCAAATTGAACAATTTGCATTGCTTGTGTGGGTTTAGTAACAGGGAGAAAGCTGCAGAACATTCCCAGAACAGGTGGCTGCACAATCCACACGGAGAATGTGGCCAAACGTGGAAATCAAACCCAGGTCAATGTTGCTGTGATGCACAGGTGCTCAAGCCCTGTCGCGCTCTCAAAATTCACAGACACTGCAAACCCCACGTGTACATTCTACTATACTGTGGACATATTTTTCATAACTGGTTTCTTGGTTAGACCACATAACAAAGTGGGCATATCTTCACCATGTAACCCTCCATCCACCTTCAGATTTTCGCTGTCTATCGCCTGTTTCTAGGCCAGCTGCCAATTCGCCTTGTAATGCACAGCGACAGCTACCACTGAGAGGGGTGTCCAATTTAAAACGCGATGAGATGAGAGATGCGAGAGGCTCATCGCATGCAATGCACTCTGAGATGCCTTTGACGTCAAGGGAGGTGGCTCTCTCGACCACAAATCACTGACGGACACTTTTTTTAAATCGTGGATGTGTTGAAGCGACCAAATTTTCGTGCACTCATTCTTCACCATTACAGTTCAGATCTTGCTTCCCGCCCTGGCTATTATTGCTGCTGCATTGACCACACAGATCCACACCCATTCCGTCACAGTGGACGTTCAGGATCTCTATCGATGCCATTTGAAATGCTTAGGACATTATGTGCAAGGGGTCAATTAGAATATACATATAGAATATGTTCAATCTAGATTTGAAGTTTTAGTGACTACAGGGATCCATATTCTTTGGTTATATCGGTAAATTCACGTAGGTATGAAATAAAATAAATTAAATTAAATCACGACGTTTCGATGACCATGTCGTTATTGCAAGAACGTTTCTTGCTGTGGTTTTCCCACCTGATGATGATTGCTTGTGTTACAATCGAAACGTTGTGATTTAATTTATTTTATTTTATACCTACATGACTTTACCGAAAGAACCAAAAAAATGTCACTTCAAATTATTCAGCTAAATTTGCACAGCAACGCCACCCACTACTGTGAAACTACAGCAGTCTGTGTGAGACACAGCTGCACCTATCTCAAGGATAGCCTGGCGCCATGAGAATGACAGCACCAATACTAAGCACACTCACTGGCCATGTCGTTATTGCTGTTTCTTTTCAGCTCGAATTAATCCGCCACACATTCCACCCACGGACGATGGGGAGATGGCGATGTCTGCCGTAGCAGCAAGGTGGAACGGTGTCGTGTTTGACAGACAACCATCACAGTTTTACCATGTCTAGTGGTGGTCTCCCTGTTACAGGTTGAGTCACAAACCGCACCTCTCCATAACAAAGGCTCAGCCTTTGATATGCAGTCTATTCTTAGTCTTAAACCTCACCTTACCATATTAATAAAAGTATGCGGCCCTTGCCCCACCACCTTCTCCAACCATCATATAAACGAAGTGGTAGCTTCTGCAATCTCTCATTTACCTGATACAGCTGTCGTGGCTGTGACGGTTCCACCTGAAGACGGAAGCTTGTGTTGCCTCCGAAACGTCGTGATTTTTATTTTTTACGTTATTTTATTTTACTTTTTAATGTTTTTTTACCTACGTGACTTTACCGAAAAAACCTAAGAATATGAATCATTGCAGTCACGAAAGCTTCAAATCTAGAACGGTGTCGTGTTGTCTCTTCACAGATCTGAGCCAGCTCAGTCCTCCTCCTCACTCGTCCAGGCCTTTGAAGTGAAGACAGAGGTTGTGGAGAAGGAGACGAAGGAAGAGGTGAAGGAGATGGAGGATGAAGTAGAGACGGAGGAAGAGAAGGCAAAGGAGGACGAGATTGTGATGGTGACAATGGAGGGGAACACGGAGGGAGAGGAGAAAGACAATACGGAGATGGAGGACAAGGAGACAACAAAGGATGAAGAGATGGTCGTGGTGGAGGACATGGAGACGACGGACAAGGGGGAAACAATGGTGGTGGAGGAGGAAGAGAAGACGGTGGTGGAGATGGTGGTGCCGGAAGTTGAGGAGGAGATGAAGGAGGACGAGATGGTGCTAGCGGAGGAGAAGAAGATGGAGAAGATGGAGGTGGCGCAGGAAGAAGAGGAGGTAGAGGAGAAGATGGTGGTGGAGGATGAAGAAGAGGGGATGGAGGAGGATGAGACGGAGGAGAAAACAAAAGAGTTGCAGGTGGAGATGCACGAAAAGAAGAGGAAGCGAGGGGGCCTCGCTCGCGTGGCGAGAGCGATCGCCTCACTCCTCCGCCGCGTGCTGCTTTGTGGTGGCAGGTCCACCGCCCAGTAGGGGTGGTGGCGGTGCTCGTGCATCGGTGCCGACCGTGACCACTATCACCACACTACCCACCCACCCCGTGATACTCGCTACACACACCACACGGTTCCCCAGAGAGACGGTGCAACGTTCAGGTCCAGAATATCGAAGTATACCGGGAATCACCTGTACTTAAAAACACGTAAATTGATAACACTATAAACAATAACACTAAACATTAAACGACAAAAAAAGCTACCAACTGGTTTTATAATTTATACCACCATAAACGGAGGTACGGTATTTTAATTTCATTAGAAGTATTATAATGGAACTCTACACATGTTTGTTAATTGTCCGTTCAATCGAACCGACGGTCGGATATGTGAACTGTGGGGGTCGAGGGTAAGAATGGCATTCAAATTTTAGAATGACAATTTGGTCGTTTTAGCAAATTACTGTACTTGAATGTATGTTATGTGCAAATGCAAATTGTTAGTCGTAAATGCGAGGGAGGGGTTAAGAGGTGCACGTTTAATCCAGTGTTAACATTTATTTTAGCATCATATTTAAGGACACTGTTGTTGATAAGAATTCGTCTGGACATGTTATGTGCCTTGTTCTACTCGATCAACCAAAATTAGTACAATGTCGGTCATACAGGAGTGTGATTTCATTCATGAGTAGTATTCACAGAGCCCCGATGACACTAACCTACCTAAAGTTATGGTTAAAAAAGTAATCTTGAGTGACTTAATTCTGAGCTCAGACATGATCATCGCAATCATTTCCAAAGACGTGTGGGGTCCTGCGAGAGCAGGTCCCGACTACAAACAGCTGGGCAGCAGAATCGGAAGTAGCTGCGTTGCCCTCGAAATGTGATGTTGCTGCTGTTGTTGCTGCTGTAGTTGCTTCTGTTGCTGTAATAAACGCAGGGAGGTGGTGTTCCGTGATGGGATGACGCTTTTGATTAAAGCCTCTGTTCAAACTCACCCGATTGACGCCCTTGATCGTCGCATTTTATCAACTCTGATATTGTAGACTCTCACATGTTAAGCTCTATCATAGTGAAACATAATATTATAACCTATGAACTACAACCTATCCATTGTAACGCTGTGAAAGAATATTACCTATTGGGTTTCACTCCCTCGTCGAGACGGCCGCTCTCTTCCTTTTCTAAAGTTACATGTTAATTTCTCTGCATTCACTTTAAATCGAGGACAAAGTTTTTCCATTTATTCAAAATAGGCGCACAATTACACACTGAGATGCACTTACATATTCATGCATGACGCACAATGGGCACATTACCCTTCGGTATGTTAAAAGACATGCGGATTGTGCCTTCATAAATTAACAATCGAATGCAAATATCCTGAAAGACAAAGGATTGGATCCTAGGGGGGGAGTTATAAGGCGGCTCGGAAGCAGAGCTCAATGCCATTTCGAGAGGGAACTTGATGAGGTTGGACGCTCGACTCGTCGCTCTGCTCATCGCCCTTCAACCGCGAGACAACGCAGCCTGGCGAGCACAATTGCTGTGTCGACAGTTAGGCGACTTTGCGTCGGGAGAGTTCGTGGCGACATTATCAGACGGGTTCCAGACATCGATATACCGTGAATCTCCAAGTAAGTGTCTATTTTCGCGGATGAACTCTTAAACGTGTTCGTCGTCAAATTTACGGGATTTTTTTGCGTCTCGATTAGACGCGAGTGTCGTTCTTGTTTTAGCAGTTAACAAAATCCAAAACTCAACGCTAAACATCCTTGCGGCCGATAGCGTACTTTTGACTCAATAACACCGCTGCTGTTACTACGCGCACATGGAGCAGAGACGCTCTCCACAGCCCCACGTACACGGAGGCAAGAAGCCATTCAATTGCTCTGTGTGTGAGAAGACATTTGCACAGTCATCACATCTTCAGAGTCACCAGAGAACACACACGGGCGAGAAGCCGTTTCTGTGCTCTGTGTGTGGGAAGACATTTGCACACTCATCACATCTTCAGAGTCACCAGAGAACACACACCGGCGAGAAGCCATTCCTGTGCCCTGTGTGTGGAAAGGCATTTGCACACTCGTCAACTTGTCAAGACCATCAGAGAACACATACGGGCAAGAAGCCATTCCTGTGCTCTGTGTGTAGGAAGACATTTGCAAAGTCATCACATCTTCAAAGTCACCAGAGAACACACACGGGTGAGAAGCCATTCTTGTGCTCTGTGTGTGGGAAGGCATTTGCACGGTCATCAACCATGAACATGCATCAGAAGGTCCACAATGATAGGAAACTGAAATCAAAAGCTGAAATTCAAGGTGCTGCAATTGGTCCTGAAGAATTTTCCACCTTCGATCCCATGCAGTTGGATCCCGAGAGATGGCTGAATGTAATGGAGTGGCTCGGGGATCAAACCGAGAGCTCGGGATGACTGAAAAAATATTACGTCATGTGGCTATACCTATTAAGCCGTATCGAGTACTTTTGTGTGTAATTTTGACCATTTTAGTTTTATTGTTTTTGTGAGAGTTTCGTGACGTGCACAGTGGTGGTTTGTAATGTTATCGGATTACTTGCCGAAGTGGTGTGATGAGCACTGGTTGTGAGAGGGTTCAATTGTAGTCGTTAAGTGTTCCTGTTGAGCTAAAGTTGGAATGCGTCTGTAGGTACATCTTTACTCAACATTTTAAACGTTTTTTTCAAGTACATAGCTTTTTTATTGGTATTAATCGATTTTACATAGCCGATTTCAGGATGTACATTGATGACGCGTTCGTTGGATATATGGCCTTGACTTCAACATAGACGCACAGTGAACAAATGTGGTGAACTAATAAGGACATCATGGGGAATGAAACTTTAACGCTTTGGTATTCCTGGAACGGAAATGGTTTGCATTCTACTGGAAATGTGTCAACATAGGAACGTAATAAATATTCCCTTTGAGTTTTGACGTAAAATGATTGCAGATGAATAAAAACGTATTTTAACAAATGTTTGTCCGTTCTTTATTTTATAATGTTCCTAGCAATAACATGTTAAGCGAGTTTCAGGTGGAGAATCTCCGTCACACAAGTGTGCCCTTACCCGGCAGCATCTTGGCTGTCTACCCGATTAACACGTGTTCCTTGAGGGGAAAGGTCCCCGTAGTTAATCTTTCATCAACGTACCAGTCCCTAATTCCGAAGTATGTCGGGGATAAACTGTACTCTATAACATGTAAACCGTAATACTATAAACTATAACACTAAACATTAAACGATTATAACCTAGTGTTTTAATTTATAACCATATAAACGGAGGTAAGGTATTATAATAGCATTAGAATCACAGTGTGGTCGTATAAGAATCTAACACTGTTCAAATGTATGTATAGTGTACGTGCAAGGATCGGATAAAAATTATTAGAATTACAACATGGTCATATTACAATCACGATTTCCACTGCTAGATGTCATCGAATAACAAAAGACGGAATATATTTATATAAATACACGCACAAACCCATTATAAACTCATGAGATTATGAATCGTTACAATTATTATAACAAGCACAATATTGTGAAAAAGAGAAATTCCCACAAGCAAAACACCACGCTCACGTGACGAATTCTTGAACAAACAAACCGCAATTAAAAAAACAACATCAATGGACAAATCGTAAAAACAGACAACACACGCACGTTAGTAGCTGTTAGAAGAAGACAACACCTAGCACCTTCAACTATACACATTATACAGCCAACGGTATATGACAGCCTTCGCTGCTGTCGACGGGGCCAAGCAGCGAGTGTTTAACTCCATTGTTTCAGAATCCGTGTCATCACCCGGTCACAGCGCCTTAGCCAAACTACATCTCCCGAACAAGGCAGCCTTCCCTATGCTCTGTATTTTAGCAGTATATTTACGTACGCACTTGACGATAATTCGTCTAGAAAAGGCAGGCGACTTGTTCTATCAACACGATTTCAAATTTATATCCGAAAGAAGTATGAGTTCATTCATGAGTAATATTCACTAAGCCCCGATATCACTAACCTACACACAGTTATGATTAAACAAAGTAAACATTAGTCGCTCATCCCAGCTCAGACATGATCATAGCAATTATTTCCACATCCGTGTCGGGTCCCACGAGAACAGGGCACGTCCACATATTCTCAAATTGTAAACTCACATTGAATACTCTAACATTATAAACTCTAACAATATAACCTTTAAACTATGAGCTACACATTGTAACGTTTTAAAATAACACTACAAACTAGTATAGTAAACTAAAATGTTGTGAACTCTAACAATATTAGCTATGTGCGATACATTATAACGCGATAAAATTACATCATAAACTAGTGTTACAGATTAGAACACCGTACATTGAAGTGTGATATTCAAATCTCATTCGAATTCTTAGCTTCATACCGTGGTCCCCTAAGAATCACACTATGCTCGTGAGTATGTAACATGTCTGTATGTAATATGTACGCATTCAGATTCCAAAGAACACAGGATGAGATGTTATTATCCTTTGTGCAAGCACTTCCAAGAGTTCATGAACAGTGAGCCTGGTGAAATTTGGGGAGCGCATCGCCAGTAGTGACCCTTTGGTTCCTAGGGTGTTTCGGCCTTTCATACTATACACCCTCCCCAAAGGCGGCCAGCGACAGGGTGATCAATCCTACGCTTGCGTCCCATTCCCAATTAGTCATAGGAGTTGCCTTGTTGTTGATAGCCAACATCCCATGGGACTATGCATGGCAGGGGCGTCCTCCTCCCTGAGTCAAGCATTGTTGTCTGCATACCTCCTGGCCCTCTCACTTTGGGGCCCAGCTGGGGTCTTTCCTCTTCATCCAGAGCCACTGACTGCTGCCTTCTGCCGCCTCCGATACAGCTCTGATTGCCGAACGCTGGCTCTGGCCCTTAATTCCCAGGTCTCTAAGCAGTCTGGTTGTAGATGTTGCCACAAAACCTCTGCAGCCCACCTCCACTGGTCGGACTTCTGTGTTCCAGCCATGATGCCGTGCTTCGGCAGCTAGATCGGCATAGCGCAGATGTTTTCGCTCATAAGCCTCATCTACTGAGTCCTCCCAGGGTACTGTGAGCTCAATGATGAAGACCTTCTTGAGCGAACGGGACCAGAGCACCATGTCAGGTCTTAGGGTGGTGGTTGCGATCTCCGGAGGAAACACAAGTTGCCGGCCAATGTCAGCTAGCATTTTCCAGTCGCGGGCCAAGCGCAGCTGGTCTCGCTCTATTGGTGTAGAGCCGCTCTTCAGTGGTTTAGCCCCTTCGCGGACAAAGGTCGTCCGTAAGGGGTGTGATGCTGCTGGGGGTGGTAGGGAGTTGGTGGCAGCTCGCTTGTCCTCCAGGGCGGACGCAAGGTTTTTAAGGACTTGGTTGTGACGCCAAGTGTAGCGTCCTTGGGTGAGGCTTGTTTTACACCCTGTGAGAATGTGCCTGAGGTTGGCTGGCATGGAACAGAGGGCACAGTCCGGATCTTCACCATACCATTGGTGAAGATTAGTTTACATGTTTTTAAGTACAGGTGATTCCCAGTATACATCGGTATTCTGGACCTGAACGTTGCGAAACAATTCCTAACGAGGACATTTCCCCACCAGAGCGCAATCCGCTAATGAAAAGAACACGGGGCGGCGGGAACACGTGCTTCCATGGGCAGTGGGGGACAGGGCATGGTTGTATTGCCTACAGGTGCCACCGGGAAAATCCCCCAAGTTCATCCGCCCATGGTGGGGTCAGGTAGAGGTCATCGAGGTGGGTGATGTAAAGACAGTGCGTCAACTAAGGGACAATTGGTGACAACAAGATAGAGAGAGTTCGAGAAGGGAAGGCGAGACCAAGTGTGGGCGGAGGTTCACGCCGAGAATGAGAGAGGGGGAGGAACGAGGTTTGGGGCTGTGTTGGCTGGTTGCTGTCTCGTCGTCGTCGTTGCTATATCGTGACGCCTGGGGTCTGAAACCGCGTTAACGGCTAAATAAAAGAACCCTCTGCAGTCTGAGTCCGGAGTCATTACAATTGTAACGATTCATTATTTCACGGGCTAATATTGGGTTTGTGCGATTATTTTACATATTCATATTGAATATTGCTATTTGATGCCATTGAGATGGAACATTCATCCAGCAGTGGGCAGCTTGATCCTAATACCACCAAAGTGTTATTCAAATAATTTTAATTACATCCTAATCCTGCACCTTCTGTTTCACATATTCCACTATTTTTCGCACGTCCATATTACATACATACATGTTACATGCATACATATTACATACAGACATTACTAGAGGACCACGGTGTGAATTCGAATATCACAATTCAATGTTCGGTGTTCTAATCTTTAACACCAGTTTCTTGTTATTTTATAGCGTTATAATGTATAGCTCACACCATTATAGTTTACTATAAAACTAGTTTATAGTGTTATTTTAAAGCATTACAATGTATAGATCATAGTTTAAAGGTTATATTGTTAGAGTTTATAATGTTAGAGTATACAATGTGAGTTTACAATCTGAGAGTTTGTGGCCGTGCCCTGTTCTCGTGGGACCCGACACGGATTTGGAAATAATTGCTATGATCATGTCTGAGCTGGGATGAGCGACTAATGTTTACTTTGTTTAATCATAACTGTGTGTAGGTTAGTGCTATCGGGGCTTAGTGAATACTACTCATGAATGAACTCATACTTATTTCGGATATAAATTGAAATCATGTTGGTAGAACAAGTCGCCTGTCTTTTCTAGACGAAAGTGCGTCCGTAAATATACTGCTAAAATACACAGCATAGGGAAGGCTGCCTTGTTGGGGAGATGTAGTTTGGCTAAGGCGCTGTGGCCGCGTGATGACACGGATTCTGAAACAGTGGAGTTAAACACTCGCTGCTTGGCCCCGTCGACAGCAGCGAAGGCTGTCATATACCGCCCCATTTACGAGTTGGCTGTATGATGTGTATAGTTGAAGGTGCTAGGTGTTGTCTTCTTCTAACAGCTACTAACGTGCGTGTGTTGTCTGTTTTTAGGATTTGCCCATTGATGTAGTTATTTTTATTGCGGCGTTTTTTTGTTGAGTTCTGTCACTTGAGTGTTGCAGTTTGTTTAAGAATTCGTCACGTGAGCGTGGTGTTTTGCTTGTGGGAATTTCGCTTTGTCACAAATTGCGATTGTTATAATAATTGTAACGATTCATAATCTCATGAGTTAAGAATGGGTTTGTGCGTGATTCTTATACGATCACACTGTGATTCT